GCCACATTTTGGGTTTTGCGTGTGGTGCAGCATGATGTGGAACCAAGCCCGAAGTGGCGGGGKATATGAACATCAAAACATTCATGCGCACTTCTTAGCAGTCCGATGCGACTTTGGTGGGTCGTGAAGCAAGATATGGATCCAAGTACAACGAGAAGCCCCGCCTACCCTATTTAAAAAAGAAAAGAATAATAATATTCTCGAGTATTCTTAAAAAAATATATATATATTGATGCGCACTTCTTAGCTGCCACCGTTTGGGTTTTGCGTGTGGTGCAACATGATGTGGAACTAAGCCCTAAGTGGGGGGAGGGGTGTGGAGGGGGGTGCGGAGCCCCCCCCCTCCCCCCTACTTGAATTAAAAAAAAAAAAAACATATATTCCTTAGTATATACGAAAATCAAAACGTTCATGCACACTTCTTAGCGGCCCGGTGCGGGTTTGGTGTGTGGTGAAGCAAAATATGGATCCAAGTGCAACCAGAAACCCCCCACGTACCTTTTTTTTTAAAAAAAGAATAATGTTCTCGACTATTGTTTAAAAAAAAAAAACTGTTTATACGCACTTCTTAGCTGCCGCATGATGTGGAACCAAGCCCGAAGTGGGGTGGGGGGGGGGGCGTGGGATGCTACTTGAATTTAAAAAAAAAAAAACATATATTCCTTAGTATATATGAAAATCAATACATTCATGCGCACTTTTTAGCGGCCCGGTGCGGTTTTGGTGGGTGGTGAATCAAGATCTTGACACAATGTTAATGATTGACTAGCCTCTCTGCTCTTTTACGTGCGGGCATTGCCCGCACCGCCCGCACCGCGGGCTATAAGCTAGTACACTATATATGTGAAAACTCCGTTGTATTGTTGTCAGAAATCGGCCGTGGTTTGCACTCTACATTTGTGTTTAGTTCCCAGCTTGCAAAAGTCGTTACTCGGATACTCCTCGAAGAGTGGTCGAAGGAGGCTGCCGTTCGAACACGAAATCGGATAGTCCGCTTGGAGTCTGGGCCAACAAAGTGTTGTCTTGTAGTGCTCTTAGGGTGTTTTGTAGTGAACTCAGGAATTGGAGAGTTGTATAGCGGATAGTAAGTGGAGCGACGGCGTAGACTATACACAAAATCTTCGTTTTTTTGTACTCTAACAGCTATACACGAACTCTCCAAAATTCTGTATAGCGGACAGTGGTGGAGCAAGACCCTTAGACCCCTGACGAGTCCTGGTTGGCGGCCAGGCGAAACCGGTCGGGTCATAACACCGCGCGGAAGCTTTTGTTTTCGCTCTTGTTCATCACGATTATTTTTTCGATAACACAGTCGAGTTCGGGACATGGGGCCTCGCTGCACTACTCATGAAATGTGCTTTTTCATGAGGTGCGCATCGCTGCACTTACTCATGAATTGGCCGGTCGGAAAATGCATCAAGAGCTGTCAGAAGTTACTCTTGCAAACGTCAAGAGTTGTCATCGCTGCACTACTCTTGCCTTGTAGCTCGTGAAATTACATTTCATGAGCTGTCAGGGCACCGTCGGACAAAGTCATCTAGGGCACTCTTGCTCTCCTGCCTGCAACCGTGGTTTTTGCAAGGGTGGTCTGACGGTTCCTTGGAAGGGCATGACATTTCTAGAGCAAGCCTGGGTCTGGGCGGACAAACCATGCTGCACTGCACTGTACGACAACTGCCAGCATCTCAAGAGTGCTTCATGAGCAGGACTATCTAGAGTAAGAGGCTCGCCACACAGGCTGTCGAATGTCGAAAATTTTCGACAGGTGTCAGTAATTTTTCGACAGCCCGGCGCTCGACAATTTTGCCCCCTATCGCCACACACACTGTCGAGAGGCGAAATTGTCGAAAGTAGGCAAGTCGACATTGCCTTTCGACAGGTGCTGTGTGGCGAAGGCAGTCACCTGTGGGGAGTTGTTACATGGATGAAGCCGTTTTCGACAGCAATTGTTGACTACATACGGACAAACAGGCCACAGCTGTCAGGTTTTTTTCCTCTGGCTACTAAGGTGTTTCAGTTCACCAGGTTCTCTCCTATCCGCCTAATGATTGAGTGGCAGTACAAGGGGTTACCCCATTCGGGAATCTCCGGATCTATGGCGGTGCTCTAACCTCATTGAACTATAATCCCATTGTCATAGAAGAAAAGAAGTATTGCTCTTTTCTTATATAAGAATAAATAAAAAATAATTTAGAAAAATGAATATTTTCTGATTGATTAGCATATTACTGATACCAATCTTACTTGATTGAATTGATTATATAGATCTAATTTTCAATTTGATTTAGGAATGTAGTCAATACGCAATTTTCGAAAGCCCGGCGGAAACTGTCGAATTTCCATCACCTGCAGGCGGGAGGAAACCGTTGCTGGAGGGCGGCTATCGAAAGGACCATTCTGACACCTGTCGAAAGTTTTCTGAGCCACAATTCTTCGAAAGTCTGTGTGGCGATGCAAAATTGTCGAAAACGCGGTTTTCGACAGCCTGGCGAGCCTCTAAGCGCGTAAGGTGGCAATCTAGCAAAATCTGCTGAATTTTCTTTCCCATGTTTGCTGAAATAGTACCCCGAGTTTTCGACAGCCTGTGTGGCGAGCCTCTAAGGGCGTACCGTGGCAATCTAGCAAAATCTGCTGAATTTTCTTTCCCATGTTTGCTGAAATAGTACCCCGCGTTTTCGACAGCCTGTGTGGCGAGCCTCTAAGGGCGTACGGTGGCAATCTAGCAAAATCTGCTGAATTTTCTTTCCCATGTTTGCTGAAATAGTACCCCGCCCGGTCACACATGGGTTGCAAATCACAAAGGACACGAGCGGGACTCTCTGGCAATTGCAAAATTGCAAATCACGAAGGACACGAGCGGGACTCTCTGGCAATTGCAAAATTGCTGCCTATCATGGTCACAAAGCGCGGAATTTTTTTTTTAACAATTCCCAAAAGGCTAAAGAGAATTTGCTACCGCCAAAAGAGGCAAATGCCCATCTCCGCGGCCCCCCAGGCCGCTGACAAATGCTACCCCGTTTGCAATTTTGGTGGTCGGAAAACCCTAGTGTGACTCTAACAGCATAGCACATTTTGCGATTTAGCAAAAAAAACCGCTAGTGTGAGTATGCCCTAAGTGCAGCCACCGCCGAACTGAAGGCCATTTCGGGACTCTGACAACTCTTGCAGCACTCTTGACTTTTTTCACGAGTCATGAGTAGTGCAGCGAGGCCCATGGAGTCTCTGTTTCCTCCTTCCTCCTCCTGCATTTCCTCCTCCTCCTCCTCCTCGTGCCTCTGATTGCTGTTGATGTGAATGTTCTGAGTACGTGCTGATTGAGTTGGCTTTTTGTTTTGCTATTTATGTTCATGCTACCGCGTGACATGCCTTTCGACTAATCTCTGGCTGTGATTGCGGTCAGGTGCATCAGGTGTGGCCGTAATTGCGTTCAGATACATTTAAAAGGTTCTGGTGTGAGTATGCTCGAACTCGCCACGGGGACTCTCGACTCCCCCGTTCCCGCAATCAGCGCTGAGCATTCCTATCCAAGGGCATAGCCGCCACACCACTCTCGAAATCTCCGAAACGCGCAAAATGAGAATGAACTTCCCGCTAGAAGACAGCCAGGTGCACACGCCACATTTTTGTCTTTTTCACGTTCCGAGAGTGCTGTGGCGAGGCCCCGAGGCCCGGTTCCACCTGTGCACTTTCGTTGCAGGAGGCTTCCACGAACAGAATGGCGTGGCCGCCTGAGGACCATGGACATCGATTGACGAAATCGATGATGGTCCGTAGACGGCCGCCAGTCTCCTCGTGGTAGCCTCCTGCAACGAAAATGCGCAGGTGGGACCGAGCGCGCGGAGCTGGAGTTTATGAATCGAGCTGTTTCCGTCGTTTCTTTCTGTTTTCTGTTTTCCTTCCATTGATGATGGGCATGGGGAGCTGGACGACGTCATATCACCTCCATCAACACGATTAGAATTTAGAAGTCAGTCCGCTGATTGATCAGACGGTCATACTGCTACTGCACGGAATCGGGAGTCTCAGAAGAAGCGATGACAGAACATAGATGGACAACGCGGTGTCATTTTTCCATGTGTCGTCTACACACTTGGGAGTCCGACCCAATTGTCCACGTGGATTGTGACTTGTGATTGCAGTGTGAAAACGGCTTGTTTGCGTCTGGCAGGGTCTGTGATTACCGAGCCCGCAGGGTCGATTGTCATGGGATCTCCTCTGATGGTGAGACTGGTTGCGGGAGTACTGTGTGTGTGTGAGAGAGAGAGAGAGAGAGAGAGAGAGAGAGAGAGAAAGAGAGAGGCAATGGGGAGTCATCCGTGACATTTGAAGCAGAATTTAATGTATAATCGGCCAGTGGGCCGGTGGGGGAGGAGGAGGAAGATAGATCCAGTCTCATCAAGCAGGAGCTGCATGAGGGAAACGGATAGTCACCTGCTGTGACTCGGTCGCACAGAGAGACCGAGACTGAAAGTCGCTCTAGAGGTGCTTCGCACGTAGTGTTTTTGCTGATCAGTGAGAATAAATTTCTATCGCTACTTCCCTCTCGGGGTCGCCCTGCACGACGAACAGAGAGTCGCTCTGCAGATCCGAACGTATATGTGCCCAAAAATTTGCTCGCAAAGAGAGAGAGAGAGAGAGAGAGAGAGAGAGAGAGAGAGAGAGAGAGAGAGAGA